AAAAAAAAAAAAAAAAAAAGGTTTGGTGGCCTTGAATTTAAATACGTTGAAGCTTCTAATTGTGACACACGCACATATAAAAAATAAGAGTAAAAAATGTTAAATTTTGGAAAAGAATAAAATATACGAGTCGTATTTTAAAATGTTGACTACAAAAAGTAAAGTATAAAGAAATCTCCATTGAGATTATTTATGAGCTTTTGGGAAGTAACGTCTTAAATACAGTACTTTTTTTTTATTGTTCTTGTAAGATTTTTTTTTTGTTTTTTTAATATTTTAAATTCAAACTAATATTTTTCAAAAACCCACTATTTAACCCAAGACTTCATTCAGATCAAATAGAAAAACAGAATCCAAAGTCCCTGAAAGTATCAATTATTGATAATAAGAATGCGATAGCTTGCACACCAGCTCTATATGACAATTGGCCTATATCTTGACTTTTGGTTTGCACAATTTATGAATGGGAGTGTGTGTGTATATATATATATACTTGGTTGACAAGTCTAACGAACTTATCATCCGATTATGGCCAAGTCCATTTTTGGGATTAGACACAAATCTTTATTTAGCATAATATGTGGGTCAACATATACTATATAGTAATAAATTAAAAAGAATAATATGTTGATACCATTTTAAATTTTGCTAAGTCACAAATTCAGATGCTTACTTTTCAAACCACAAATTCCAAGTGCTGAATTAGGTGGATAAGAAAATAGGAAATTTTCAGTCGGCAAAGCATGGGGCAATTGCATTGTCAATCAAAACAACACCCGGACCTAACAAAAGCAAAGAAAATCGAATTTATTTATTTATTTATTTAAAGATTAGGTCATATATATATATGTATATATGTGTATGAAGTTCAAACATCATGGGTCCGGGATAGACTGGGTAATTCACCTAATTTAGAACATATAAACAATGAATTTGGATAAGTATCTGGTATTTTCATATTTGGCTTTTTTTTAGTGGCTCTTAACTACTAACCACCTTGGACTATTATTTCCAACGTCTTCTGCAAGTAGTGCTGTACTAAAGTTATTATTCTTCTAAACATGATGTCATAGACATTGTTGAGTGAGCAAGTGTATAGAAGCCAGACAGATGTTGCAGTCTTGCAGATATACAACCCAATAGTAATAAGACAATTAGGCAAAATCTAGAAATATATAGAGATATATCTATCATATTATATAATTTACATGTATACATACTATAGTATACGAGTAGTAATGATGTCTTGCATACTTACATGTCAGAAAGCAAGAATTTTATTCACAGGAAGAAGGGTAATCGCCATTGGATATGGTTCAAGTGTAAAAAGAGTAATGGTCCAAAAATGATATAATTCTTATCGTTTACGGATGATTAGGGACGGAGTCAATGAAGTGCCAGGGAGGCTAGCCTGCTCCTGCCTTTTGTAATATATGTGTAATTTTTATATTTTTTTTCTATATATATAAAAAAATCTATAAAGTGTTCTCTTTAATTATTTCTTTATTTTCTCTTTTACTTTTTAAATTTTATAAATTTCATTAGAATAAAAAGTTAAATTTTCATTCCTCAATTAAAACTCTTAACTTTTTCCTTATGAAATTCTCTCATTTTTCTTTCCTTTTTTTATTTATACTTCTTAAAATTCTTCTTTTTAACGTGCATATTTGAATAATTTTATTCTTCTTCTTCTTTTATATTTTATATCTGTTATATATATATATATATTTTGTATGGTGCTCCGGACTTGAAATCCTAGTTCCGTCCGTGATGATGATTATGTATGGTGTGAATAAATCTCTTGCTTATTGTTGCACACATACTATATTAAAAGTCTAACCAATTTTTATATATATATATATATATATATATATATATTTATATACATTCTTTTTTACAAATTTAATTGTTAATTCCTATTTAATGCGGGATTCCAGCAGACATAAAATTAATCACACTTACAAATTAAAGTCACACACACTCAAATAATAATTCCTTTAATAAAATAAAATAAAACCATCACATTTCGTATCTAAAACCTATTATAATGAATATAGCAAGAACCGACTATCCATTCCCAGTGGTGTCTTGATTAGTTGAAAAATTAATCATAGAAGTTGTAATTAATGTATCTTTTCTATTTTTTTGAAATTATAAATTCATATTTATCAAATTTCTAATATATGCATACAATATACATCATATGTAGTATCTATTATTTAATGAATTAACTTTCACCTCATTGGTCCAATTGGTGAGATATATATATATATATATATATATATATATATATATATATTATATTTCCTAATTTTGTTTTGATTGACTTGATATATATATATATATATATATATATTATATTTACTAATTTTGTTTTGATTGCCTTGATTTCCTTGGCACATATTTGTGTATATATAAGGAGAGAGAGAGAGAGAGAGAGAGAGAGAGAGAGAGAGGGAATAAAAAAGGGAAAGAACATGGAATCATATTAACAAGGGAAAAAGATTAAAAATAATAATAATAATAATAATAATAATAATAATAATTTTATTCCTTCTTTGTTGAATTTAAGGTTAGGGAAGTAAGACAGAACCTTAGTCACGTTTTGTTTTTTTTTTTGGTTCAATCCTTTTTTGTAGAATTTAAGGTTAGGAAAGTAAGATTTAGTTTGTGGTGCAAGAATTAAAGTTGTTCAATTTGACTGAATCTTACTCAATTAAGGTTCGAAATTTTCGATTTGGAGAAGTTTTGATAATCGAGTTATATACTAACCCTAATAATCCATAATTATATGATTTATTTTTTCTTATAATTTTGTTTGAGTAGCATGTTCGGTTTATATATTTTATTTTTTGTCGAATTGTTTTAAAGTGAGTTTATTTTGTATTTTAATTTTATTTTAATTTCAGTCCAAAGATAAAGTTAAATTGTATAATAATATACTCTATATAATATATTATATACAATATAGAGTGGTACATATGGTAAAACAAAAAATAATTTTTTTTCTTGACTTATTGATTTGGCGTTGACTTGGGTGATGACAAAGTTATGTTGGGAGGTATCACCACCGTAAATACTCACTGGATGTCGTTCAGTGAGAGAGAAACTAAAACTTTGATGAATTTTTTATTAGAATGAAGGTTATATATATTTACAAGTAGAATAGAAAAGAAATAAAAAATATAAAAGAGTAATTTAATCCTAAAAATTTAAGTGTTAAAGTTTCAAAAAAGTGGAAAAAAGACATCAATTATAACTCTTATGATTTCACATGTATGTAATCTTTGATGATAACAAATATCTGTGATAACAAATATCTGTAACCTTTGGCAATAATAGGGATGGCAATGGGGCGGGTTTGGAGCGGGTTTCCCTAAATCCCGTCCCGTCTCTTTTAATTTTTGTCAAGTCCATGCCCGCCCCGAGACCCGTGACGGGTTGGATTTTCATATCCAACCCCGCCCCGTTAGAAAATACTGTGCCCCCGTACCCGCCCCACTAACAAATTTTTTTCTCCCACTTTTTGGAACTTAAACTCTTGCTATTTAAATGTGCAAAGCCTAGGAATGACACAACATTAATAAAATTATGTATCCTAACAAAAATAAAAAAAATAACATGCACATAACATAATTCAGAGAACATAATAAACAAAAATAAAAGTTTAATACAACCAAATCACAAGGAGTTCTAAGCTCCAACTTCCACCATAACAAAAACAAAAGCAAATTTAATACCAAGTTTACATCCCAAATTTGGATGGTAAGAGATGGGTAATTGGGTAAGTCGCTAAAATAACTTATTAATATATATATATATATTAAATACAGTTATATGCGGGGCGGGGTGGGGCCCCTAGGATATGTATATTGAACCCTTACCCGCCCCGTGACCCTCAACGGGTACAAAATTTGTATCCATGTCCGCCCCAACGGTATAACAAGTGTTCCCATATCCGTTATTAAAGGGGCGGGACGGGACGGGGTTCCGGCGGGACGGTAAAAATTGACATCCTAGACAATAATAAACGGATTGTCAAGATCTAATCACGAATATAAATAATGACATCAACATATAAGAAATAAGTGGTTCGACAAACACACCGACAGGCTACATCTACGAATGAAAAAGACAAATCACATAAAAGTTCATAAAGAATTAAAAATAGATAATAGCAAACACCTAAGAACCCAAATTCACGCGCAACATATCCCTCACGGGCCTCACCAACCCCTATTTGATAAACTCATTCATATGCCACTAAGGTAGAAAAACAAATGAATTTTTTTTTTTTTTTTTTTTTAAAATTGAAAGTCATGAAAGGTGGGAAACAAATCTTCTTCAAGACTTTTTTTCTCTACCTAATGATTTTTTTTGAAAACTTTAGAAGTTTGGTTAGGAGGAGATGAATTTTTTTGAATTTTTTTTTTTTTTTTGAATTTACTTTTTCTCTACCTAATGATTTTTTTTGAAAACTTTAGAAGTTTGGTTAGGAGGAGATGAATTTTTTTGAATTTTTTTTTTTTTTTAATTTACAGTAATACCTTTCCTATTATGATAAATTTCATATTATTCATCAATGATACTTTTTCACAATTTTTTAAAAACAATTCATATTCATACAAATTAAATACATGATAAAAAAATCATTCCTCTCATGATCATAAATATCTTTTAAGTGCACATCCAACAATTAGATCCCTAAACATGTCACATTTTTGTTTAACTAAAAACAATGAGCAATCTGTGTCACAAATAAAAAAAGAAATAATTTTAAATTGGTTTCCAAAATAGCTATCAACATCCAACAACTTCATTTTCATGATAATAGAAAAGGTTTGCAAGAACAATATTTTCTTCCCTTTTTAATTTTTTTTCAATCCTCATTATATTTATATACACACATATAAAATATATTTAATGGGTTGGTCATTTATATATATACTATATATATATTTCTTAAGAAAATCATACCTAACTGCAAGACTTGCAGATACTATCTCTAATCATACTAGAGAGAGAAAATAGGAAACTAGGGTTATTGTTATGGACGGCAAGGGCCACTGTCCAGACCTCCACCAATCATTGAGAGACGCCTCTTTTGACCCATACATCTCTCACTATATAAAATTATACATCTCAAATTTATCGTCACCGTTACTTGAATAGCGTCTGTTAGTACACAGTGGTGTTAACTAGGGCAGGTCGTTCTCAAAGCAAGCCGTCAACATCGCACCGTCTCTTTAAACAAACTCCGTTAACAACACCGCCTTCTCTTTCGCTCTCTTTCTCTCTTTTTCTCTCTCTAGCAATCGTGAAGCCTCTCTGTGGATTCAATCCCTTGTGTCCACAGGTACTCTTCGATTCTCTCTTTGATTTTACATATCTATGGTTTCTCTAGGGGTAGGGTTTTTTTAACCCATGCTCGTGGGTTCAGATTTCATGATATTCAACGTTTTATCTGAAATTCAAATCTATCTTGCTATATGATCTCTTGATGGTACTACTTTTGTTGGGTATATGATGAATTGATTGATGAATCTGTGATATTTGTGGGTTTGGTTCATGAAAATGTTTTCCAAGAGGTTCTTTTGTTCTGTTTGTGATTTTGTTATTGTTGGGGATTTGGTGAAATTCATTATTGAATCTGTGAATTTTTGGATGATGATGATGTACTGAGTGTTGACTGTGGTGGGATTGTAGAATCCACCTCAGAAACAAGTACGTAAGCCAAAAAAAAATGGCTGGAGCTCTTCTCACAACCTTATCCATGGAGAGTAACCATTTGTCCACACTTCTGTCCATGGATTCAAATTCAGCCACGCACGAAGAAATGGAGAGAGAGTTGAATCGAGCCATCAATCTATCCCGACCACCGGATATAAACCTTCCACTGTCAGCTGAGCCTAGCCCACCGCCTCCGCTGTGGAATGATAATTGTGATATCTTAGATGTTAACCTTGGGCCTCAGCATTATGAGGCCGAGACAAATGTTAATGTCACAAAAATTGGGAAGAAATGTGCTAAGAGGCTTGATAGTGTCTGGGGTGCTTGGTTTTTCTTCAGTTTTTATTTTAAACCAGCTTTGAATGAGAAATCAAAGAGTAAGATCGCTTGGGAGAGTAATGGGGTTGGTGGGTGTGATAAATCAGACTTGAAGCTTGATGTTTTCATGGTTCAGCATGATATGGAGAATATGTATATGTGGGTTTTCAAGGAGAGGCCTGAAAATGCATTGGGAAAGATGCAGCTGAGGAGTTACATGAATGGGCATTCACGGCAGGGAGAGCGACCGTTTCCGTTCAGTGCAGACAAGGGCTTTGTTCGATCTCACAGGATGCAGAGGAAACACTACAGGGGTCTTTCTAACCCCCAGTGTGTTCATGGGATTGAACTTGTTCGGTCTCCCAATCTCATGGGTCTTGATGAGGAGGAGCGGAAGAAGTGGGCGGAGCTTACAGGGCGAGATTTGAACTTCTCGATCCCTCTTGAAGCCAGTGATTTTGGTTTGTGGAGGAACCTTCCGAATGCAGAATTTGAGTTAGAGAGGCCCCCTCCTTCATCGAAGAGTTACAATCCAAATTCCCACCCAAAAAGATCGCTGAATGGTTCTAGTTTGAATTTGTCAACTCAGCCGTCTAACCATATGAATGGTGATGGGATGGATCTTCTTTCTATCTGCAATAAACGAAAGAAAAATATTTTTGAAAATGGAATTGATGATGATTGTTGTTTGCCTAATACCTCTAATTCTGATATTTTGGATATCCACCCAGTTGAACCACACTGGTTAAACGAGTTTACCGGAGTAATGAGGAGTGTATATGGGCCAGTGACAGCTGCAAAAACTATTTACGAGGATGATGAGGGTTACTTAATCATTGTCAGCCTGCCTTTTGCAGATCTTATGAAGGTGAAGGTTACTTGGAGGAACACTCTCTCACATGGTATTGTAAAGATATCTTGTGTGAGCACTGGGTGCATGCCTATCGTTAAGAGACAAGATAGGACATTCAAGCTAGCAGATCGAGCACCTGAGCACTGTCCTCCAGGCGAATTCATTAGGGAAATTCCCCTTGCTACACGAATCCCAGAAGATGCTAAACTAGAAGCATATTGTGATAAGACAGGAACTATGCTTGAGATTATTGTGCCCAAACACCGTGTAGGCCCAGAGGAGCACGAGGTTCGTGTATGCCTACGTCCCTCTTCATGGAGTGAACGTGCTTATGTCGACTTGACAGAAGCATTAGTGTGAAAATTGTAAGGTTGGTTACAATTGTACCAAAGAGAAAGGGTGGTTGCTTTTGTTTTTTGGTTTTTTGAAAGGTAGGTTTCTTTTGTTTCTGTCTCATTGTTTAACTAACTGCATTCCATAAATGAAATATGCATTTTTTTTTCTTTCTAATTAGATGTCTTCTCTTTTTTTGCTTCCCCTTTTCCACGTTTTTTATTTTCTCATTTTTATTTTGAGTTGTCTATCAAGGAGTAGTTGATAATCTGAAAATGTGGCCAATAATGTGTAAATTAGAATGAGCCTTTATCAATCATTTCTACTTGGAACTTCAGCTCATTCTGATTACTCCGGTGTTTATATATATGTCTAGTTTCCTTGATTGGGAGTTGACCCCGAACTCCAAAATTAGCCTGGCTTTGATATACTTTTACTTTCATCATGTAAGTTGATCATTTTATAGTATGTCATCATGGTTCTGCATAAACTTGATGTGTTAGTGCCTTATAATTGTTTTACAGAGCTTGACACTATAGGTATGCCTCAAAGTCTCAAAATAAAAGGAAAAAATGATTCATAAACAATTGATTTTGATAAATAAAACTCAATAGATGTGTAATGAGGAGGTATTTTGTAGTGAGATTGTATGAAATCTTCTTTCTTTATTATTATTATTTTTTGTTCGTGTTTTTGTCCATTGATTGATGCTGTAGCTATCTTTCAGTTTTATTATTGCTAGATTTTGTTTGTATTTGGCATTACTATACACAAAGGTCACTTTTTGTATTGTTATTGCCCATGGGAGAGACCTGCTCCTTCAGAATTGAATGCTCCTGGCAGCATGTCTTCTAGGTTTTCTATGCTGATATCTAACCATACTTTTCAACTCTCCATTGCATTCTCAATGCTCTGTTTTTTTTCGTTCTCCCCTGTAATATTTATCAATTAACAGATATAAAGATGTTTTGTGTCTGTCGTCAATCCAAGGGGGCAAAAAAGAAAGTATTCATTGTTTCGAGGTGAATTGGAATGGTTACCAATTGAACTCAATTGGCATGAAGCTTGTTTGCTTATTTACCTAATAAAGCTTCTTAAGAAGCCTATTCAGCTCTTCGTTCGTTGGCCAATCGAGCATAGAACATTAGAAGCTTGGTTTAGGCTCAATTGATTAGTAAACAAGACTAAACAAGCTGATATTGTGAGTATAAACTGTCATAAATAGTTTGGTTCACAGATGGTCCTGTTCTACTTTGATCTTAAATTTCAATTGATATTTTTGGAATTTATAGTCTAATTCCCAGGGCCCTTCACAATCTATAAATATAACATCTTCACACGCACACGCTTGTATATGGGTACAAACACATGGTTCCTTATTCCAGATATCTTGGGTCTCTCATTATTAGCCCAACTTGAGGTTTATGAATTGTGTAAGCAAGCTATGGTTTGTTCATGTAACAAAGAACAAACTCCTGATTGAGTAAAAGAGCTAAGTAGTACTCAATCAACCTCCTCAATCTTGGGGTCTACACCACTTCCGCTTAGGATCTTCAGCCATGCCACCAGCCATGTCAATAGCATCCTCAATCTTCTCCTTGTCTGCCGGTGAGACACTACCAAACTTCCTCATGTTATACGCGCAATTCTCCAAAGTATTCTTCACCTCAGCCCTTTTCTTGTGCTCCTCATCGTCAGACTTGTACTTCTCAGCTTCCTGAAGCATCTTCTGAATCTCTTTCGTGGACAACCTGCTCTCATCATTAGTGATAGTGATATTGTTCTTTTGACCAGTGGTCTTGTCCTCAGCCGAGACATTCAATATACCACTGGCATCAATTTCAAAACAGACGTTGATTCGCGGAACTTCTCTAGGGGCAGGGGGAATGCCAGAGAACACAAATTTGCCCAACAAGCTGTTGTCTCTTGCTCTTGTTCTCCCACCCTCGTACACTTGAATCGACATATAAGACTGTTTATCCAGGAAGGTAGTGAACACCTTCTCCTTCTTGGTAGGAATTGTAGTGTTTCTTGGAACCAAAACAGACCTGACTCCTCCAGCATTTTCCAAGCCAAGGGACAGAGGGGTTACATCCAACAGCACCAGGTCCGGGACCTTCTCATCTCCTTCACCACTCAAGATTGCAGCTTGCACGGCGGCACCATAAGCAACAGCCTCATCTGGGTGAATGCTCTTACACAGCTCCTTCCCGTTGAAGAAGTCCTGCAATAGCTGCTGAACCTTTGGAATTCTAGTAGAACCACCAACAAGGACTACGTCGTGGACACTGCTCTTGTCCATCTTGGCATCCCTCAAAACACTTTTCAACAGGTTCCATACACTCCCTAAACAGATCCATGTTTAGGTCCTCAAATCTGGCAAGAGTAATAATTGGGTAGAAATCAATTCGTTCATACAATGAATCAACCTCAATGGTTGTCCGGAAAGCTGATGAAAGAGTCCTCTTTGCCCTCTCACAAGCAGTTCTCAACCTCGTAATAGCTCTAGGGCTTCCACTGATGTCTTTGTTGTGCTTTCTCTTGAATTCCTGAACGAAATAGTTCACCATGCGGTTGTCGAAATCTGCTCCTCCAAGGTGAGTGTCACCAGCAGTGGCCTCCACTTCAATGACACCGGTCGCGTTAATGGTGACGAGAAACATCAAAAGTGCCACCGCCAAGGTCAAAGATAAGCACATTCTTCTCGCCCACACTTGCAGCTCTCCGGTCAAAACCGTAAGCAATGGCAGCAGCAGTGGGCTCATTGATGACACGAATGACATTGAGGCCGGCAATGACTCCGGCATCCTTAGTGGCCTGACGCTGAGAGTGATTGAAATAAGCAGGGACAGTGACGACTGCATTCTTAACCGTGGAGCCGAGATAGTCCTTAGCCATTTCACGCATGTTAGTGAGAACCATGGATGAGATCTCTTCAGCAACGAACTGTTTCTCCTCGCCTTTGTAGTTTACCACAATCATTGGCTTATCACCGGGACCAGCAATGACCTTGAACGGCCAGTGCTCCATATCACCCTGAACTGATGCATCACTGAACTTCCTACCAATCAATCGTTTCGCATCTGGATTTCAGAAAAATACAAGATTTTAGGAACCAGAAAACAGATTAAAGCAATAAAAAGTCCAAATATTATCTCTCTCCCATCATCAATATTCTTGTGTCATCTATAAAATATATCACACTAGTTTTTTCTTTTTTCTTGTTTTTTTATTTATTTTTTATTTTTTTTAAGTTAAAAGGTAAGCATATATCACACTAGTTTTTTACATTGTTATATCAATTTTTCCATTCCAGGGCTAAAATGACTACTGCAAGAATGAATAACAAACCAAGAAAAAAAAAAAAAAAAAAAAATTTTTTTAGAACAAACCAAAATGAATCAAGTATTGTCTATATTCTTTAGTCTAGATAGTATGATCTCGTGAGTGTGCTTGTGTTTACTTCAAAATAAAATGAATTAGCTATTGGACTTACAAATATTCCTATTCAGAATGAGTCATTCAGTCCAATTTGTAACCAAACTTCACAAAATTTATGCAAAAGTTCCCCAGAGCCAATATATGTGTATTTATATATAGCAACAATATATATATATATATATATATATATATAGATATATATACCCATTAGTTGAAAGGTAAAATCATATACAAATCCGAAATTAATTATTTACATAAATGAAAACAAATATCTAGTGTTAATACTGATAATTAAGTACAGAATCTACATTTAAACAATAGTAGTATAACACATTATATGTATATATTTTTACCGAAGTTGGTGTTGATAGGGTTTCTGGCGCCGATGAAGCGCTCGGTATGGTTGAAGGTGACGTAGGACGGCGTGGTATTGTTACCCTGCTCGTTGGCAATAATCTCGACGCATTGGCGGTCACGGCGCCATACTCCGACGCACGAGTACGTGGTCCCCAAATCGATTCCGATCGCCGGACCCTCTCCTTTTCCAGCCATTGATTTGGAGTCCAGCAAAAACTAGAGAGAGAAAGTGTAGCTGATTAGGGTCCAGATTGAAGTGCAGCCTCAATGTTGTTTTGATAGGATTATACATTGTGGCTTTAACTTTTAGGCGTTGAATTGAACGACCTTGGAGAGTGAGGAGCCCGTTTCGAAAGTTGAAGAATTTCCTCATTGGACACGGGAGAGTGGACATTTCAAACCTACGCGTTCCCTCGCTTTCAAGAGTTGTGACGCGACTTCTTTACACAGTGCGGGCCATATCTGACAAGAGATTTTTTATTTTTTAAAAAAGTAATTAACTAAATGCTATAAACAATATTATATAATTTCAATAAATAGTGGTCGATAATATTATACAAACTCTTTAGTTTATGTTTTTTCATGGTTATTAAATAATTTTATTAAAATTATAAAAATGATTGAATATATATACCTCCTAATAGGGTTAAAAAAAAAAAAAAAAACTTAAATCAACCTCCTCAATCTCAGGGCCTGCACCACTTCTACAGGCCGAGGGTCCATCTTCAGCCATGTCGGGTCCACCACCACCCTGGTTCTTCTCCTCAAACTCATCTGCCGTGTAGACTTACAGTCGCTTTACGGAGCTCCACACTATGGCCCCCGTTTGTTATGCATTTGTTTCTGCTGGTGTTGTTTTTGTGTTGTTTTGATTTTGACAATAAAAACATGTTTAGTGTGATCTTATTTTATTTTATACAGTACTAAAAGATTTTGTGAACAGTGAACCAAAATTAAAAGACAAAAAAATTGTTTTATTTATTTATTTATTTATTTTTTATTTTGACAACCATTCATGACCCAAAACCATAACAGTAACACAACACGGATCCGACATTTCCACAACAAAACATCGTTCTTAAACGTGCTTCCGATTTTTTTTTCCAAAACACTCTTACATCAAAAATATTATTTCTATTTTAGCCAAAAATAATACGCCAAAAACAAATCGCATACCAAACGGACCCTATAGGTGTACCTCAAAAGTCTCAAAATAAAAGAAAAAATGTGTCGTCAACATTTCATTTTGATAAATAAAACTCAATAGATATGTAATGAGGAGGTATTGTACTGAGATTGTATGAAATCTTTTGTTCTCATTTTTTATTGTTATTGTCCATGGGAGAGACGGAGGTAAGATTATACGGTTGTGGGGGCCAAACTTATAAGTGAGCGTTGCCATTTAATACAAGACTACTTTAAGCTGAAAAAAAAAAAAAAAAAACTATTTATTATATTTATACAAAAATATATCTACCAAAAAAATTACCAAATTATTTAAAGAAACTTTTTATTAAATTTCTTTAACAAAACACAAATAAAATTAAGTGAAAATTTAATGAACTATCAATTAAACAAACAAATTTGAAGACCTTATATGCTAAGGCTCAAGTAAATTTTTAAAAAATAACCTTTATATATATATATACATATATATATATATATATCAGAAATAATTAGCATCTGGAAAATCTATTGGCAAAGAAAAAAAAAATTGAATTTGAAGAAATCATGATAAGTCTCAAAAGAAAAGTGACTTAGAACGGATGAAAATAGAGAACCTATCAAAAAATTCTAAAAAGATATATTTTTAAGATATCTCAACGTATGTACATCTGAAATTAAAAAAAAGGCAACGAACAATATAATTAAAATTGATTTGACAACACAATTGATTTGACAAAATGATTAGCTTTCAAGAAGTGGGACAAAAACTCAACAACTATGAAACGGGAAAGAACCTAGGCAAGCCGGAGAGCATGAAAGCACCTAAGAGACCCTCCCACCGGAACCTTCAGCCTAATCACCTTAAACCTCCATTCTTGTCAACCCCCACCAGCCACTCCCTCAAGCATGTCCAGGCCACCACCTCATCAACCCACCCCCCAGTTTCAATCCTCAAAAAGGCCCCCTTGCATAGCACAGATCAGCGTAGCAAATCTCAGCAACCCAACTCACAAGCTGGCCCAACCACAACCCCACTGCAAGTACCCTTCTCTATTACCACAATTAACAAACCACAGACAACAAATCCCACTAAAACCCAGAAAAAAGTATCTTTTCTCCCCACCATCAAATGCAGTACGTGACCTAAATTTCTTGATGATCACAACCATATCATGGACGACATTGACCCAGACACCACACAGTCACTGATTGATGAGATCTTTAGACTTCGTGTGGAGTTAATGGAGTTCAAGAGCAACTACAGGTACAAGCACCTTCTTGGGGAGGTTGAATGGCTTAGGGGATTAATTGGTGATGGTCTGAAGAATCAAGCCACATTGCGTGCTAGAATCAATGAGCTCAGTGATCAGATCATAGCTGCTAATCATCTTCACTCAATTGATCTTCATTCCACTGAAGATGATCATCCTGATGATGAACAGCCCCACACAACTGCCAGCTTCCCACGGCCAAGTTCCTCCGCACCTCCTCACCATAGCTGTCACATCAACCACCACACTGATCCTCCACATTTGAATTTGAATTTGAATTCAAAAGCATCCTCTTCAGGTAACTGCTCTGACCAGCCTTTTCCTGTGCAAAAAGATGTTGCTAGTTTTACTAATGTCATCCAAACCACTCATTCCCTTACCACCATATCCAATCACGTGAAAAGTGGCCGCTCTCTTGTCAATCTTGCAGTCCATAACTAGCAAGACCTCATTGCACAGTAGTTATCTAAACCTCGCAACCTAGCAGCTATCAATCACAATCAAACAAGTATGCGCTTACCTAACCAACTAATAACCAGATTGCAACTACAACCAGTAACCCTATGCCACCCCAACCAAACACACACTCAGTCACTACTCTATCACCAAATGACCCCACCATAAGCCAACCAACACCACGGCCTATTCCCAAGCCTTCCTGGGCATCAATTGTTAAAAAATCCCAAACCAAGAAACCATCTTACTTATGTTCAACCTATTAAGTCCACGGATCACACCATCATTCCACCACCTGAGATCGAACTTGCAGAACTCACAGACTTGAAGACCAGCATTTTAGGATACTTTGTACACAAAAGTCTTCCTTTTGGCATGGTCAATGACATTACTAGAGATCTTTGGACTGACAGAGGACTCCTAAGAATTACCAGTTCAGAAAAGGGGCTATTTGAATTCCATTTTTCATCCACTGAACAATGTGACAATGTCTTAGCTGATGGTCCATGGTTTTTTGCTAACAAGCCACTAATTCTCCATCATTGGATGCAAGGCTTCCAGAAATCCCTTCACTCAACTATCCCAATCTGGATCAAGCTTTTTGGAATTCCACGCCAGTTCTGGACAGAGCAAGGATTAAGCTTCATCACCAGCTCCATTGGGCACCCCTTGTTTGCTGATCTAATCACTGAAGGTGGACTAAAAACAAGATTTGCAAAGGTATGTGTCACTGTAAATGCTAATTCTGATTTTCCTTCAACCCTCAAGCTTCACATGAGTAATGGGCAAGTGGCCAACATCAATGTGCTCTACCTGAACTGCCCCCCTAGCAGCAGCTCCTGTAATGTTTTTGGGCATACCAGAAAAACTTGTCTCAAATCTCCCGCAGCATCTAGACCCTCTCAACCACGTAATGAATGGCAAATCATTCCAATGAAGAAGCCATCAACCACACATCACCACTCAGCTCCATTGATATCATCACCTCCTGCATCCCCCCTTCACCTCCCAAGCCATCATGGGAAGAATGTCATCACTCATTACTTTAAACCAAATGAAACATTCAAAGTTGACCTAAATCCTTATAAACCTGAACACTTGGGAACCTCCTTCATCTCATCAACTGAGCCACTCTCATTGGATACACCTCCATCAAGAATCCAATGCTCCATATCCTCTCATCCCTTCCAATTATAGATCATGAAAGCGGTCTCTGAATCAGACTTAGCAACTAGCTTTCCTACAAGCATCAACAAGGTGAAACCAATGAAGGGTGTCAAGCTGAGGAAGAAAAAGCTCTACAAGAAGTCAGTGGCCACAGGTCCACAAAGAGGTAATCTATTCCCAACTAGAAAACTTCTCAATGCCATTAAATGGTATCATTAGGCATATGGAACATCAGGGGGTTAAACAATCCCTTGAAACAAGCTGAAGTGAAACAACTTCTCCATCATAACAAGGTTGACATAGTTTCAATCATTGAGACCAAGATTCAGGTAAGCAATGTGGACAAGGTGCACAAATTCATAGCTGGCTCTTGGGAGATCACTCATAATTACCAATACTCCCCCTTGGGGAGAATTTGGATCCTTTAAAATCCGAGGAAGATACAGCTACAAGTGCTGCAGAGCTCAAGGCAAGCAATTCACACATTTGTCACAATTTTGAGTTGCAGAACCACTTTCTATTGCTCCTTTATTTATGGAGCAAATGACTCAATTGAAAGAGAATCCTTATGGGGAGACATTGCTAGACATGTTTCCACTCTCTCCTCTGCTCCATGTTTACTTGGAGGGGACTTCAATATCATTTTATCAGATTCTGAAAATTTTGGAGGGTCAACCAAGACTACAAAAGCCATGCTGGATTTTAGAGATTGCCTTCATCAGTCCAACTTGGAGGACCTAAAGTACACTGGCATCTTCCATTCTTGGTCCAATAAAAGTGAAGGGGTAGCTAATATTTCAAAGAAGCTGGATAGGGTCTTGATCAATGATTCCTGGACCCATTCATTTCCATTGTCTTACTGCAACTTTCTCCCACTTGGCATCTCTGATCATTCTCTGATGATCATCAGCTTAGGCAATCCAGCACCACCAAGGAAGGTTCCCTTTAGATTTTTTAATTGCTGGAGCAATAATGACTCCTTCCTACCCTTGATTCAATCCATTTGGGATGAACCTGTTGCAGGCTTTACTATGTTTCAAGTTGTCACTAAATTGAAGAACCTCCAACAGCCACTCAAGAAAAACTTCTCAACTAACTTCAGTGCCATTAAATTGGAGGTTCAACATGCCCATGATCTTCTCTCTCAATGCCAAGCTGCACTTGACATTAAACCAGATGACAGTTCACTTAGAAGCCAAGAGAAACAACTCATTGCTTTATATTCACTACTGAGGAACTCTGAGGAACAGACATACAGGCAGAAATCAAGGGTGTTATGGCTCAAGGAAGGTGACTCCAATTCCTCATTCTTCTTCAAGTCCATTGCCTCTAGGGTCAACAGGAATAAAACTACCACAATCAACTCTGCAAATGGAGACCTGCTGGATACTGATTCTGCCATCAAGAAAGAGATTGTATCTCATTTCCAGTCTACTTTAGGACTAAATCCTCATCCCTACCCAGGTATGGCCCCTCTCTCATCCTTTATCCAACCCACAGTTCCACCACAGTTCATTTCTTCACTTTGTTCTATACCATCTAATGAGGAAATCAAGAACTGTATGTTTTCCCTAAAAAGTGACAAGGCCCTAGGTCCGGATGGTTATAATGCTCTCTTTTTCAAGAAAGCTTAGTCAATTGTTGGCTATGATGTCACTAAAGCCATCAGGGAATTTTTCACTGCTGGAAAACTTCTCAAGGAGGTCAACTCAACCTATATTACACTAGTCCCTAAACTGCCTAATCCATCATCAATCAACCACTACAGACCCATATCTTGCTGTTCCACAATCAACAAATGCATTTTCAAGCTTCTTTCATCCAAACTTAAGCCTTTTCTGCCACACATAATTGGGAATGCACAATCAGCATTCATTCAGGGTAGAAAAATTGATGACAGCATCCTTATGGCACAAAAGCTCTTGAATGGATATCATAGACACTCTCCCTCTCCAAGATGCACTCTAAAAATTGATATCCAAAAGGCCTTTGACTCTGTCTCGTGGGAGTTCCTTTTTGACTCAGTGTTGCTACTTGTTTTCCCTCCCACATTCACCAATTGGATACGTACTTGTGTCTCTACACCATCATTCACTATCTCTGTCAATGGTGAGTTCTCAGGATATTTCACTAGTATAAAAGGGCTGAGGCAAGGGGATCCCCTATCCCCATTTCTCTTTGTGATTGTGATGTAAGTTTTTTCATTGATTGTCTCTAAAACCATAAGGGAAAGGCCATTCAAATACCATTGGAGATGTAAGCACCTGGACCTAACTCATTTGATTTTTGCAGATGACTTGATGCTATTTTCATATGGAAACCTTGAATCCCTAAGCTCACTTAAACAAGCCATTGACACCTTCTCATCCCTATCTGGCCTGCAAATCAACAAAAACAAATCTCATGTTTTCCTATCTGGTGTTAATGATTCCCTTGAGGCTGCCATCCTTGCCCTACTTGGCTTTGAGAAGGGTGCACTACCTGTTAGGTATATTGGGGTACCATTTGTCTCCACTATGTTGAGATCTACTGATTGCAGGTCACTAATTGATAGGATCACTTTAAGAATTGGCCATTGGACTAGCAAGAATCTCTCTTTTGCTGGCAGACTTCAACTTATTAGATCAATCCTATTTTCTACACAAATGTACTGGAGCTCTAAGTTCATCCTTCCAGCAAGCATAACACATGAATTAGAAAGTATCTTTGGTGCATTTCTTTGGACTGGTCCAATTCTAAGAACTTCAGGTGCAAAAATTGCTTGGGACAAGTGTTGTCTACCTAAAAGGGTAGGTGGATTGGGGCTCCCTAACCTCACAGTTTGGAATAAAATTGCAATAATGAAACAATTTTGGAGAATCATTAGCTCAATTGACATGCTTTGGGTGCAATGGATTAATACTTACCTGTTGAAGGGAAGGAGCATTTGGGAGGTGAAAGTGCCAGGTCAGTGCTCATGGAGTTGGAGGAAGCTACTTAGTCTCAGAAGCAACATCATACCCCTTGTCAGATTAGAAATTGGCGATGGCAAAGCATCCAATTTCTAGTTTGACAACTGGTCTCACTTGGGTCCTTTACATCTTCTTGTATCCCCTCAGCAGATTTTGGATTCTGGCCATGACACTAAAACCAAGCTCAATTCCTTCGTCACTAATTCCACCTGGAACTTTCCAACTTCCATACTATCCATTTTACCTCAATTACAACCAATCTCAGCCTTGCCACTCCCCAACACTCAAAGAAGGGACAAGTTCATTTGGACACCAACCTCTTCAACCAATTTTTCAGTAGCTGCAACAATGAAATATCTCACAAAGCACTTGCCAACCCTGCCATGGACGCACTTAGTTTGGTCTAAACCATCAATTCCTAAACAATCCTTCACACTTTGGGTTGCAATTCAGCAGAGGCTCCCTACCCTGAGTAGAAGATGCACAGCACACATCAACACCACAACTTGCATCCTTTGCAATGCTGAACCAGAGTCCCATAATCACCTCTTCTTCAAGTGTTCGTTCACCAGGCCCTTATGGACATTTTTACAAGCAAGATGTGGGTTTTACATTTAGCCTTCAACATGGAATGACTTGATCAATTGGGCCTCCCACCACTGGAAAGGCAATTCACAGTTCCATAGTAATTCTGTATCTAAGCTTAGCCTTGCAGCACTGGTCTACAACATCTGGATAGAGCGCAATAATAGAATCTTTCAGAAAAAGTACCAATCTGCAAAATCAATTCTTCATATCACTCTGGATTCCATCCGATCCAAACTCCTCAACTCTTCAATCACTGATGCATCCGTTGCAAGTAGAGTCGCAGCTAAATGGGAACTCCCTGAAAGTGTCATACGACCGTCGGCGAAACCACCTGATCGGAGAAATTGAAGAAGAACAAGAAGAATGCTTCATGTTGGGAAGGCTTTCCCATGAACACCGGATTAGTTGGAACCTTTAACGGTTCTTGTAGATCAATTTATTTGTTCATGGGCCGGGGGTAATGGGTCATTGCTCCAGCGTTATAACTTGCCTTTGGGCCACTGCCCCTTTTTGGGCTTGTAATTTTGTTCATTTTAATATATATATTGAAATTTTACCTTTCAAATATATATATATATATATATATATATATATATATATATATATATATATATATATAATTAAAATTGCAATACGAATTCGAAAAGAGCTTACCTTTTCTCTCTTTAAACTCTGTCTCTTCACTCGCCTTAATTAGTGTAAAAGCCAAAGTAAAATGAGAGAATAGAAAGAAGTGGGAAACTTGCTATAGAAAAACACAAAAACAAACAAGAAAAAGTGGACCACAAAAAAAATTAAAGAAGCCTCAATTGGAAAAGAAAAAAATTGAGAAAGGCAGAGAGGGTTCAAAAGGAGATAGATATATCCTTTTGAACACTCTCTCCCTTTCTCAATTTTATATATATATATATTTGTTAAAGGTCCATTAAAGAACAAATTTTAAGGGGTCACCAACTATAAACTTATCTTAGTTATCTAAACTATTTTTTTTTGTGTTAGCCTATACTTTAAAAAAAAGTTTTCAAAAATTTTGGGTGGGGGCACCTGCTCCTTTAGAATTGAATGCTTACTTGCAGCATGTCTTCTAGGTTTTCTATGCTGATATCTAACCCATACTTTTCAACCCTCTATTGCATTCTCAATTCTCTATTTCTATTTCTTCTTCTTCTTCTTCTTCTTCTTTTTTTTATTTATTTATTTTTTATTTTTTTTATCAATTCACAGATATAAAGATGTTTTGTGTCCATTGTCAATCCAAAAGGGGAAAAAAGAAAGTATTCATGAACGTTGGTTCCTTATAGGTTTTATGCTCGTTTGTTTCAAGCTTCTTAAGAAGACTATTCAGCTCATTCTTAAGTGGACTTGGATTGTTCATCTGTTGACCAAACGAGCATAAAACCTAAGAAGCTTGATTTATATTATTGTTGAGTCGAGTCCCTAACTGTCATAAACAATTTGGTTCACAGATGGTCCTGGTCTACTTTGATCTTAAATTTCAATTGATATTTTGGAGTTTATAGTTTCAACATTTAAGGCCCTTCACAACCTATAAATATAATGCATGTCTTCACACGCATAGAAGTTCATGTAAGAAAATAAAAAATAAAAAAAAAGTTGCGCAAGCAAGCTATGGTTTGTTCATGTAACCAAGAACAGACTCCTGATTGCGTAAAAAAGCTTGGTAGTACTTAATCAACCTCCTCAATGTTGGGGCCTGCGCCACTTCCACCGGCTGAAGATGGAAGTGGTGTGTTTGCGGACGCTCTCAAGTTCCTTCCTGTCCATCCACTGTATGGCCCCAGCAATAGAATCCAAAGTATTCTTGACTTCAGCCCTTTTCTTGTAGTCCTCATCTTCAGACTTGTACTTCTCAGCTTCCTGAAGCATCTTCTGTATCTCTTTCTTGGACAACCTGTTCTCTTCATTAGTGATAGTGATCTTGTTCTTTTGACCAATGCTCTTGTCCTCAGCCGAGACATTCAAGATACCATTGGCATCAATGTCAAAACAGACGTTGATTTGCGGAACTTGTCTAGGGGCAGGAGGAATGCCAGAGAGCCAGAATTTGCCCAACAAGTTGTTGTCGCTTGTTCTTGTTCTCTCACCCTCGTACACTTGGATCAGCACACTGGGCTGGTTATCATAAACGGTACAGAACACCTTCTCCTTCTTGGTAGGAATTGTAGTGTTTCTTGGAACCACAAGAGACATGACACCTCCAACAATTTCCACGCCAAGGGACAGAGGGTTTACATCCAACAGCGACAGCTCTTGGTACTCACCACTCAAGATTGCAGCTTGCACAGCCGCACCATAAGCAACAGCCTCATCTGGGTGAATGCTCTTACACAGCTCCTTCCCGTTGAAGAAGTCCTGCAATAGATGCTGAACCTTTGGAATTCTAGTAGAGCCACCGACAAGGACTACGTCGTGGACACTGCTCTTGTCCATCTTGGCATCCTTCAAACACTTTTCAACACTCTCCACACACTTCTTAAAGAAATCCATGTTTAGGTCCTCAAATTTGGCACGAGTAATGCTTGGGTAGAAATCAGTTTCCTCATACAATGAATCAATCTCAATGGTTGTCCAGATAGCTGATGAAAGAGTCCTTTTTGCCCTCTCACAAGCAGCTCTCAACCTCATAATAGCTCTAGGGCTTCCACTGATGTCTTTGTTGTGCTTTCTCTTGAATTCCTGAACCAAATGGTTCACCATGGGGTTATCAAAGTCTGCTCCTCCAAGGTGAGTGTCCCCAGAAGTGGCCTTCACTTCAATGACACCCGTCGCCTTAATGGTGACAAGAGAAACATCAAAAGTGCCACCGCCAAGGTCAAAGATAAGCACATTCTTCTCGCCCACACTTGCAGCTCTCCTGTCAAAACCGTAAGCAATGGCAGCAGCAGTGGGCTCATTGATGATACTAATGACATTGAGGCCGGCAATGACTCCGGCATCCTTAGTGGCCTGGCGCTGAGAGTCATTGAAATAAGCAGGGACAGTGAAGACTGCATTCTTAACCGTGGAGCCGAGATAGGCCTCAGCAATATCACGCATCTTAGTGAGAACCATGGATGAGATCTCTTCAGCAACGAACTGTTTCTCCTCGCCCTTGTAGTTTACCACAATCATTGGCTTATCACTGGGACCAGCAATGACCTTGAATGGCCAGTGCTCAATATCACCTTGAACTGATGCATCACTGAACTTCCTACCAATCAATCGTTTCGCATCTGGAGTTCAGAAAAACACAATACTTTAGGAACCAGAAAACAGATTAAAGCAATAAAAAGTTCAAATATTATCCGTCTCCCATCATCAATGTTCATGTTTCATATATTTTGACATTTAGAAGAGATTGGAGATTGGTAAGTCCTGCTTGTAGTTGTAGGTGTGCTTGTAAGTGTGCGTACGTTTAGCTATTGGAGTATTAATGCTAAGACAACATAATTCTTTACAAATATTCCTATTCAAAATGAGCCATTAAATCCAATTTGTAACCAAACCTCACTAAATTTATGCAAAAGCCAATATAAATTTTTACATATATTGCCAAATAATAATAATAATAATAATTTATTATATACCCATTAGTTGAAAGGTAAAATCAAAATTAGAGAAGCTATACAAATCTGAAATTAATTATTTATATAAATGAAAACAAATATTTAGTGTTAATACCGTTAAACAAATATTTACTCAGTATTAAAGTCGAACCCTCGACTACAGAATTTGCATATATTTAAACAGTACTCAATAGTATAACATAGAATATATATGTATTTGTATCGAAAATGGTGTTGATAGGGTTCCCAAGGACTTGATACTTAGTGGCATCGCCGATGAGGTGCTCGGTGTGATTGAAGGCGACGTAAGACGGTGTCGTGTTGTTGCCCTGATCGTTGATAATTATAACGATGCCGTTCGCGGAATGGTCCGAATGGGAAAACACTCCGACGCACGAGTAAGTCGTCCCCAAATCAATTCCAATCGCCCGAGCTACTCCTTTTCCGGCCATTGCTTTGGAACAATGATGCATAATCCAGCAAAAATTAGAGAGAAAGCGTAGCTGATTAGGGTCTAGATTGTTGAGGAAGGATTAAAGTGCCAGCTTCAATCTTATATGGATTGTTTTGGACCTTTGGTAAGTGTTATGGTACAAGATTCCACCTTTTACTTTTAGCCGTACGACTTGAGGAGTCCGGTTCATGGGACCGGGGAGACACGTTGGTTTTATAGAAAATTGAGCAGTATACTGTAGCTCAATATTTACACTGTGTGGATGAATTGTTTAATAATGTGTTAACCATATGTGCGGAGTCAATTAAGGCACAGATGTCTTTGCTCCAACCTACTATACATAGAAACATATTTTTGCTATGTATGTATATTTATATGGTAATTTTAAATCGTGCACCCTAAAATTTTCAAATTCTTCTAATTTTTTTTTTGAAAAAAAAGAAGAAGAAGTTAAATATAGGGAAAATTATATTTTGGTGACCAAAATTAAACACAATTGCTATATAGTGACCTTAAAGTCAAGAAAAGGTGAATAGTGACCAATCTTGAAACTTAATTGATATTAAGTGACCATTTAAGGATAATTTGGTCAAAAATACTTAAAAGTTTAATAAACATTTTAAAAATAAATTTTAGATGACAAAATTGCCATCTAATGTAAATAATAAGTCATTAAATTCATCCTCCTCCTACTCTCTCTCTCTCTCTCTAATTCAACGTTTTCTTTTTTTCCTTTTTAGTTTATAATTTACCAATTTAAAAAATTAAGATTTCTTTATCAACATTATATTTTTTTCACCCTTTATCTATTTTTCAAGGCTCTCAACCATCTAATATTTTCTTTTTTAGTTTACAGTTTATCAATTTAAAAAATTAAAATTTCTTTATCAACATTATCTCTTTTCCATCATTTATTTATTTTTCAAGGCTCTCTAGCATGAACGCTCATAACATTTACAGTGGCAAATCATACTTTTGAAACACCCTTTAACAGTTAGTAAAATTATGAAATTAATTAACAATAGTCATTATTTCTTGAACTATAACTAAGTAGTATTAAAAATCTCTAAAAATTACAATCTTATATCTTAAGGAAAATCTCTCAGACAAATCAACTCGTAAAATATAATAACTATACCTTGAAAATAATGAATAAGAAGAAAATTTACAATTTTCTCGTCATGTCTCTTAGAATCTTGAAGAAAATGATGTATAATATCCATCATCAGTTCTCTCCCATCTTGATCTTCTCTTCAGAGACTCACCATAATTATCTGTTGTCTTTTTGTTAGTCAATTTAAGTAAGTGTTTATTTAGGTTAATGTAGAGGGTAAATTTGTTTACTTACATAATAATATATTATAAAAAGGCTATTTAGGTAATAAACCATCAAATGGTCACTTAATATCAATTAAGTTTCAAAATTAGTCACTATTCACTTTTTCTTGACTTTAAGGTCACTATATAACAATTATATTTAATTTTGATCATCAAAATATAATTTTCCCTTAAATAATATATTCCCCTTCTTCAAGTATACCATTTATTTTTCCTTTTCTAATTTTTGTTTCCGTTTTCAAAAAATTTATTTTTTCACTTATGTATAATTATGTATGTTTCTATTTTTCCCACTTATTTCTTTTTATCGATGATAATTGTGATTGTATTTAATTAAAATATAATTAATCAATATTTTGATTCTTATATTTGTAACTATATATATATATATATTTACAGAATTTATTTAGTATATTATTTTACAACTATTTTTTTATTCTTGTTTGCCTTTTGATTTAAAAAAATTATATTTGTCATATTTATTGATTTTTTTTTTTTTTTTTTTTCAACAAGTGCATTGTACCTCATTTGAAATAAAATTGTGGCTCCACCCCTGGTCAAACGTGTAACTCATTTAATAAAATCAAATAATATTATTTAAATTATTAATAATACTCGATCAAACATTAAATATTAGAAAAATATAAGTTTCAATCCAACCAACTTATTAAATAATCTCTAATCTACAAAAGAATAAATTATAAGATACAAATTTAGATAGTTATTTTGGAACTTAAATAGAAATTTATTTATGTAACGTATAGTTAAACCAGTTACACGAATTGAATCTCTCAACCCAAATACGACACGATTAACTAAACGTATTAATTGTGTCAACCTGTTTATGACCTGAATCTATTTAAGGTCAACCCAAATCCGTTTAACTTGTGTCGTGTTCGAATCGTTTGACGGGTCATGTCAAACTTTGCCACTCTTAATAAAACGTAACAAAAGACTTTTGATTTTTCTTTTTAAGTAATTAATTAAGTGATACAAAATAATATATATTTTCTTTGATTGCAATAAATAGTGTTCAGTAATGGAGTGTTGCGAACTCTTTATCCAATCTTCAATAAGAAAAAAGTGGAATAAATTACAATGACCTACTTCGACATTTGGCCTAAAATATAAATAAATTTGATATTAGATATTTTTTTTGCAAAGACTTCCTTGTGTCAAATTTAGTTTTTTTTGGAGTGCTTTTATTAATCTACCCTTATTATAATATTGTTAAAAAAATAAAAATGTCCGGGAATTGAAAATGGTCATTTTTCTCACTACATTGGCCTTACAATTGGCCAAATTTTATATATATATATATATATAAGGGTAAGAGCAATAATCACTCGTATGGTATATATAGTACAAGAAAACAAGGCTTTTGGAATGAATTATTTGGAACGGTTTAAAAATTGTTTCAAATGAGCCTGGTTGTTGGGACGATAACATATTTACCGTCCCAAATGAAAAAAAATAAAATACTGAGAATATTTTTAGTCGGAAAATGAGGTTATTGGATAGATTATTTTAACGGTTTAAAAATTGTCTCAAATGAGTCTGATTTTTGGGACGACAATATATCTACTGTGCCAAATGAACCGAAAACTGACCGACTTAACCTAATGTCATATGTCATCTATCTACTCTCTCTATACCGCCGACGCCGCACCAGTAGCAACTATTTCACACTGGCCAGCTCGGCTTGCCACACTCTTCTCGGCGTGGAGGGATATACATACGAAAAACCAAGGCTAAGAAGGAATTCATTTGTAGAAGCATAGTGAGGAGGATCGATTGAATTTGGAAGCTCTGCTTTTTCGCTCCTTCTAATCTCTCTCATGTCAATCGGAGCTCTCTCTCTCTCTCTCTCTCTCTCTCTCGATCGTTGATTGAAATCGACAACTATCCGTAAGTTTTCGCAATCATTCTTACTGTTATTGTGTGCATAATTTCTTCAATGGCCTCCACCTACCACGTCCTTTCCACTTTCCCATTCAATTTTCCAATTTATTGTTTGTTTCCTGAGAAAACACCTCATATACATACATACATATATGCCTGTATATGGTTTGGCATTGACTGATCGAATTATTTTTTTTCTAATTTAAAATCATTAAAGAATTAACAGTTTTACGAGCCCAATCCTCTCCCAATCCCAAAGCTTTACGAGCTTGTCATCAGATGCAGAAAGCACATATGGAAGGGTTGGAAGTACGCCTCAAATTGTTTAACTTTTTCATTGGTATCGTAGTTGTATAGATCCAGCAAAAATCCAGTGTTCACGCGCTATAAACTTGGCTGATCTTACTGCAAACACATACACAAAGTTGAAATGTAAAGACTAAAGACTAGAGTGAATTGTGTTAGATGAAAGGGAAAATGCAAACAAAAAATGTGGTGATTGTATACTTGATGAGTAGAAGAGGTTATTCCTTTCTGCAGAGAAAATTGTTGCATCTTTTTTTCCCCAATCTTACGGTTCAATATTCAATAATATGAATTAATAGAAAGAAAATTTAATCTCAGTATTTCATATTCTTTAGCTTTATTGGCATACATGAATGTATGGAGAGTAATTTTAACATAGTAGTATCTTTATAATATATATATAAAATAAGGTCCAGGTCTGGTCTGGTCCCTTCTAACTTGGTATGCAGATAGAAGGAAACCAGTTCTTCTTCGGTTGGGTAAAACCTAAAACCTGGTGGCAGATAGTCCATTGACTCCATTGAAACCTCTTTCTCTTTTATTTTTCACACTAAAACCACTCTTCTCTCTCTGCAATTTATCTATCTGTGTTTGGTTTTGTGTTTCATTTCACCGTATGGCTTGGTTTTCTATCTGTGTTGAGTCTGTAGAAATGGAAATTGACGAAACATTATTAGTATTAGTATTCTTGTTTTTGGCATTGTCTTGATTGAATCTTAATGCAAGTGCACCAACCTTGAACATGGTGTTTCAGACTCTTGTTCCTTTTGCTTACCATCATATCAAAAAATTAAAGGGAGATGAAATATATATATATATATCCTTACAAAGAAACTATTTTTCTGTTGGCTTAATTCCAAAAGTTATGTCATCTTGGAATGTCAGCTGATCACTGCAACTAAAATTCCACTGACAATGCAACAAGGAATCGTTCCAGAACAAAGGCTTTACATTACTTGATCATAGAATCAATCTTGTATTAAGCATTGGAGTTTAATGCTGCATCTGTTGGCTTCACTTTTGCTTGTTTAATAAAATATATTATAGATATAAATTGCGTACCTGACTTCCAGTAAGTCCTGTTTGTTTTGCGAGCAAGAGTTTGTCTGAATCCTTGGGATAACTATAACCCAGTTGCGGGGAAATTTAGTAACAAAACAAAGATAGAGAACAATTAAATTGTGCATTTATAGAAATTTCAGAAGAGTAGTTGACATTGGTTTTGATAATGCTTATGGGTGGAGGAAGTGTTCAAAGAAATTATTCACAACAAAGTGGTTCATAACTTTGTTTGGGATTCTGTTTCTTGGATATCTCTCTGTCTAAGTTTCAAGTTTATAGTGTGTAAGTAGAATGATTCTTAGTGATGTTAGCAATGTCATTTTGTTTGCTGGACTAATTTTTTTCCACGATAGATTTGAGTTTTCATTTTTCATGTGCAGATTGAATATGAGATTAAGTTCAAGTTTTTTTTTTTTTTTTGATAAGTAGATTAAGTTCAAGTTTTGATGTTCTAGTTTTTTGATTGAATACTCGTGTTTGATATGACCATATGCATTTTCAGTTAGACGTTTATGTCCCGTACCAACTTTTGTTTAATTGGCATATGAACTTGTACAAAATATTATTGATGCATCTTTCAGAGTACTTACTGTAGTATTACATATACTTATAAATAGTTCTAGCATCTCGATTTTAGTAAAAGTATGATGTGTTGGTGGATGAGTGGTGAAAATGTAAAGTAAAATGCTTTGTTAATTGTAGTATGATGTTTATGGAGATGGCTGATAATTGTTCTTCATTTAATTAACTTCATTGATCCATCTGTTTATGTTCTTCATTGATAATTGATCTTCATTTTGCAAAGTGCAGGACAAAATGGTGGCCCAATGATTAGATCCATCTGTTTATGTGGATGCTAGTAGTTTCAGTCCAGGTGGATGAGCAGATTTTGGAGAACTGTCTTGGAACAGGAAAGGGTACATATTTCCGTGGCTTCGGTTATGGAAAGAAGGCTCCATCAGCATCCTCAAGTCCTAAGAGGAAGACAAATGCAGAGTGGGAGGCAGAGTTGGAGGCTGAAAGGAGGAAGTCTAATAGAGCTAAACAAAAATGTGATGAAATGTTGGAATCCATAAATGATTTGAAGGCAACAGTGGAAGGTATCTTGGAGAATCAAAGGGTGTCTTCGCCTCAATTCATGTTCACACCATTCAGCAGATATCGTCCTGCACTTGGCAGCCCACAGAGCAGCAACCTCCTTATGGATCTTTTGGCAGCCTATTAAATAATCCGCAGCCACCGAAGTTTGGCCCATTTGGTCAGTACACATCGCTCAACTCCGACTCACCAACAAATGATGAATGATTCCAGCTATGTTATTGATATATACCTATTATGCTATTAGGTGCTGATTTGACCATAATTGATATCACTTTGTTTTTTAATTAATGGTTATTAAATTTATTTTTTGTATTAATTTTGACTTTACATTCACCTTCTTTATAGTTTTAATGAATGAGTATAAGATATTACAGGCAGGCAAAAAGAAATTTGGACTGCTGAAATTGTAGCTAGGCATACCACCATTAAAATAATAAAAATAAGAAAACGAAAATAGGGACACAAAGAATTTTGTCCTGGGAGAGAAAACATCCATCCCAAATACTTATTTGGGACATAAAAATAATCGTCCCAAATACTTAATTTGGACGAATAAACATCCGTCCCAAATATTTAATTGAGACATAAAAACAACCGTCCCAAATAGGGACGGAGGCGAATCTTCCATCCCAAATACTTATTTCTATCCCAATTATACCGTCCCTAAAGCCCTTTTGGGACGCAACTAATTGAGACGGTGACATTAACCGTCCCTAAAAGGTAATAGGGACGATTTTAGTACTTTTAGAGACATTTTTTTTTTTTTTTTTCTTTCTAATAACTAAAATTCTTGTAGATGCAAATAGAGTATTATAAGTCTTTAATCTTTATTTTTGGTGCAAACAATAACCTGGATACTGAAAAGACTAAACTACCCCTCTGTAACATAATAAAAAAGTAATTAAATATAAAATTACTAAAGTACCCCTTTCTTCATCTTTTCTGTTGAATTGTGTCTTGCACCCACCTCCCACCATGGCCACCATCGGACTGATCTGGAGCTTTGCCGACGTGGGTCGCCGTTGCTTGTAGCGTCGTTGGACTGCACTCGGTTATAGCTCGAAGTTTCACGGGACTGAGAAGCATGTAGTTTTGTCTGTTGGGGCTCGTTGCCGAAAACAATGGAGGTTTATGCACTTGGAGTACGCCAGACTGTCTGCTGAAGTTTTGTGCTACTCTGAAGCTCACCGGATTGAGGTCTCTTAAAAGTGAGAATTTCATAGAGGGTTTTGGTGAATCTTCCAAACATAACTCATACAATTCCCTTTCTCTTTCATCTTTAATGACACCGTTTACATCACAAGGACGCATTCGGTTACTCTACAATGGTGATAGAGTGTCGAATGGTTTGGAACCCAAATACCCATTTCCCCAAAACCCTCACTATAAAGTTCTTAGCGATGGCTTGAGGTTCACCAACGTAGCCCAAATACCATTTCGATTTCTTAAGTAAAGTTGTGGGTTTTATTCTCTTTATGGGCAATTTTAATCGTATTTGGAGTTGTGGGTTCTTGGTATGGACCAATATAAGACATAGTTTTAGAGGTTTCTTTCTTTTAGTGGTTATTTTAAGTGTTTGTTTGAAGTTCCAAATGAGGTTCAACCTTTATTTGATAAAATTAGTGACCTCTATGAGAACTTCGGATGGCATTAAAACCCATGAAGGAAATCAATTATTTAGGCTTTGTATGGATACATAGGAGAGAAAAGAAAAGAAAAGATAACAATAACCTCTAATTATGTTTAGATGATAGATAGAAGAGAAAAGAAAAGAAATGATAGTATTCTTGTTTGGATATGATAGAGGGGAGAAAATAAGAGAATGATAACAACTAAATTACTATCACATATTTTTAAATAGAAGGGGTATGAGTGGAATACTAATTTTTTCTTTTTAATTATTGAGGACAGTTTTAGGATTATGAATATACTACTAAACACTATCTTTTCTCTCCCTATCTTCTCATTTTTTGAGAGATAGGAAATGAGGGATAAGGAGGGATCGCTATCCCTCCATATCCTTTCTTTTCTCTACTTTTAAACCACCCAAACACACTTAAGCTTTATCTTTTCTTTTTTTTCTCTATCCCTCCAAATCATCCCATCCAAACACACTCTTATATATATGTTATTCTAAAGATTCAAAGTGTGTGTGTGTGTGTACGTAAATAAGGACATTGCCGGAAGAGAAAATGGTATTTTCAAAATTTTATATTTTAAAAATATCATGTGACTAAATATTTGACTTTGTTCATGTTTTCAAACTTAATGACTTATATATACAATATAAAGGATAGGCATATATTTGTCCAAAATACAAATATTAAGGATATTTTTCTCACTTTGCCGTGTATATAATTTATACCCACCTGTTCAAGACTAAACAAACTCAAAAGAAAAGGTAAATTGAAGGCTAACCTTAAGCGAAAGTTGCTGAAATTGAAACCTATCACCACAGTCGCCAAGCACCACTGTGACCACCACCACCACCACCCAGGGCCGGCCTTGAGATTGACAAAATCTTGAGAGGCCTAGGCGAACGTAAATGTGAGGCCCTTTAATTACTGAAATACACACTAACATACACATAAGGTAATAAAAGGGTCATATTCAATTTTGAATTTAATCACCAAGTTTTTAAGGGTCCTAATTTTGAATGGGCTGTGAATTAATTTAATCGAATGGCTTTAAGTTCTTTTTTATTTATTTGGACCTATCACTCATGGAAAGGGGCCTAAGTTTTTTTCTTTTTATTTGGGCCTATCACTAATGATAAGGGGCTTAAGTTTTTTTTCATTTTTTTTTATTTTTTATTTTTTAAACCTATCACTAATGGGCTTAAAAATTTTGAGGCCCTCTAAATGTTGAGGCCCTAAGTGACCGCCTTAGTTGCCGGCTGTGATACCCCCTAATTTCGAAACACGGGTTGATCAAATCCGCGCACAAAATCAGGAGAATATCAAAACAATTAAAGTATTTCAAACAAGTACAGAGTACAAAATGAAATAAAAGAATAAATAATACGCTGAAGAAAAACTAATAAATAAAAATTAATTAATAATTCTCCAACAATTACAATTCGGGAATCCTATAACTCAAGGACCCCTTAAAACATTATCAAATAATCTAATACTACTTAAAAATACACAAGATGAATAGATGAATGACAGTTTCCCAGCTGCGGATCCTCAACCTTGAGACTGGAATCTCTAATAACCTGAAAAATAAATCGTGGGTTAAACCCTACGAGCAAGTTCTCTCTACCAGACCCCTGAAAACCAATAAAAAGATCATCTCTGACTAAAGTCAATTCTAATAAAGCTTTTATCTTTAGTACACCATGATATGCATATATTTATATAATTATTTATACTACATTAGTCACATCTATTACTAAGTTCATTAAATTCAAATTATTAAATAATGATTAAATTAACAATCATTTTTAGACCAATCCATAATTCATATTTCTTTTAAAAAGAAACTCCATTAACCATAATTCCATTATAAGCAATTCTTTAATCATTTAAACAATCAATTATAATAAAAGGAAAATTATATTAAATTTCAAATCCCGATAATGATTTTTATTTACTAAATCACACAGCCAATATCTAGGCTTTGACAAATCATCCATGTCTCTCCAGTATTATTTTATTGCTATATATAAAATAATATACTAACATTTAAACACTAGATTATTCTAATGTAATCCTAATCCAACTGATACACACAATAACCCTAGATGGAATTTTAATCATCTAGCACATAGCAATTTAATTACGCTTTGGCAAATCAACCATGCCCTTATAAATATATTTATTTATATATTGGCAACTCAACCATGCCTCCTTAAGTATAATTATTTATACTTTGGCAATTCAACTATGCCTCCATAAGTATATTTATTCATACATTTAATTAGCAACTCATCCATATTTCCCATGTATTCATACAATATTTAAGTAATATTTTTAATCCTTTGACAATTCATATATGCCTACACTTTAATCATGAATCACTTTAAACTTAACAATACGCTAAATCATACATAACCATCTCATGCATATTATACGCATATCATTAATTTAATAATTAACCTATCAAGATATACCAAATAAGAATGATAATATTAATCA